TAGAAGCAACAAAGCAATTGGAATAATAATAATAATAATAATAATAATATTATTATTATTATTATTATTCAATTGAATTGTTCACATTTTAATAATAATATAATAATATTATTATTAAAATGTGAATATTATTATTAAAATGTGAACAATTCAATTGAATAATAATAATAATAATAATATTATTATTATTTTATAGGTGCCGGTTTCTCTCCGGTCTCAAATCTAATTGGAAAATTTCGTTTTGATGATCTGATCCGTTCACATTTTAACATTTATCAAATACATCATCCTTGCAAAAAAATAGATTTATCGGATAACGGTAACCACATATTCGGATCAATTTTGTATAAAAAAATGGACGGTGAGAAAATAAATAGTTCCTACAAAATTGATCCGACCACGTGATTTTTATTATCCAATCAACATGATATTTTGTAGAGATAATATATTTGAAGAATCTTAAAATGTGAACGGTTTAGTTTATCAAGATGAAGCCCAAAAAACAACCCACTGGGCTGGATTGAATTGTCTTGTTCAATGAAGGACTGCCTCTATAGGCAAAATTATTCAAACTTTAATCTTAATTATAAGGGTTTGGTTTCTTTAAAGTTGAGATCTTAATATATAAGAACATTTAAATTTGGTAAGCTTATGTTGGAGTCAATTTTGATGATTTTAACTGTTCACTTTTTTAGATTTATTGAGTAGAATATTCATGTAAAAAAATCAAGATGATTGAATATCAATAATTACATATTTGAATCATATTTATTTAAAAAAAATAAATGAGAAATATAATTTTAAGAATAACTATTTATTTTTTATAATATAAATTTGATTTAAATATATAATTATTGATATTTATTTATTTTAATTTTTTATATAAATATTTTATTCAATAAATTTTAAAAATAAATAATTTAAATTATTAAAACAAAATTTATGATGGCTCCGCAAACCGTTCAAGAAAAGCCGAACCCTAATTATATTATTCTTGACCTGAAAAAAGTAGGAGTCATGCTGCATGGAGAATTACGCAAGGCCGGACATGCAAAACAAAAGCTAACTAGTTTTGAGGTTTTCAGCTCAGCTGACCACTCGGCTCTCTGTAAACACCACAGCGACCAATTAGAGGTAGTTTGAGGGGATGTAAATAAGTGTTTTTGATTTTTTATGAAATATGAATTAGATTTGGATTGAATTTGAAGTGATGTGTTAAAGAGATAATATAATTTAAATAAGATGATGTGACTTAAATAAAATAATAACTTTTTTGATTTTATAACTTTTTTTTTAAATATGTCAAACCAAGTCTTAATCTACGAAATAACTCTCTCATTCTTTGACTTCTTATTTATTAGTTTATTAGACTCATTTCTAAACTTAATTTCGATAATTTAAACCGTTCACATTTTAAGATTTATTAAATATACTATATTTATAAAAAATTAAATTGATCAGATATCAGAAACTCCTTGTTTGGATCATCGAACTAAAAACAATTTTTTTAAAAAATTTAATAAACAATATTTTGAATACATACTTTTTAATATCTAATCAACTTGTTTTACAGGTTTGATATACTCAATAAATTTTAAAATGTGAACCATTCGAATTATCAAAATTGGGTCTAAAAGTGGACCCAATAACCTAACAAGTAAAAAGTCAATGAGAAAATGCTAATTCTGCTGGAGAATTGACATGGGAATTTTTTTTCATAATCTCAACCGTTGTTTATATGGTAAGTATTGTGAACATATTAATCATACAAACAGATCAAATTAATTAGATATTTCTATTTTAAGATTAGGTGGTAATTATTCTTAAAAAGTTATTAAAATTATATTAATATATATTTTTTTTTTATAAAAAAAAAGGTATATTACACTTTACTTTTTTTTATATTTGACTTTGACCCTTAAAGTTTGATTTTTTATACTTTGATCCTTTATATTTCAGGTTTTTTTTTTTTTAATTTACTACTAAATTAATTTCTGTTTAAAATTAGATAAAAAATATCAAGATAATTATCACATAATATAAAAATATATATTATTGTATTAAAATTTGAGTTTGTATTAGATATGTGAATTATATATAATAAAATATTTTTATACCACGTGATTTTTAATGTGTCATTTTGTGTCTAATTTTTAGGGTAAATTACAAATATACCCCCTGAGATTTGCTTAAAGTACAGATTGCCTATTGTGATTTTGAAAATTACAAATACTCCCTTGTTAGAATTTTTTATTTAACAAAATTAACTAAAAAAAATAAAATTCATAATTGTTCTCTAATACAATAATAAATTTATCTAAATTATTAATTGAAATATATTTCTGATATCATTAAAAACTGTTAATTAACTTTATGATTTATTAATAAAAAGGGTAATTTGTTACGAAATTAGAAACCTCAAGAGGTGGAATGTAATTTCCAAAATCATAGGAGTGATTCGTATTTTAATCAAATCTCAGGAAGTGTATTTGTAATTTATCCTAATTTTTAACAACAATTAGTTTTATGAGTAAACTCGAAAAAACTTAAAACATAAAACGTAAAAGTGAAAAAAAATAAATTTTAAGAGTTAAAGTGAAAAAATAAGTAAATATAAAAGGAACAAAGTGTAATTTGTTCCAAAAAAATTGTGAATTTATTATGTGACTACAGAGGTTCAATTAAATTAATTTTTTTGTACCAATATTCTACTAAATTAATTCTACAAAATAAGAATGAGTATTGAGTGTTGAAAATCAAGCCACGTTTTCATCAGATGCCATATGCATCAAGCCCTTTTCTTTATTTCATATGCTTTCGGTGGTTAATTTATTTCATATGCTTTCGGTGGTTAATCAAGCTAGTTATTATAATAATAAACAGAGTGTATGCTGATATATATGTAATATATATTAATGTATAGTTAAATATGTAGTGGCCTCGTGGCCTGCTTGTTTGTGTTTTTGGCCTCGTGGCCTCATGGCCTCCATCTGATCATATTGTATAAACCTCCTATATAATGGAGTAGCATTGTAAGGCTTAAAAGATTGAAATAAAAAAGAGTCTATGTTTAGTCTTTCAATCACTCTCTCTCTCTCTCAATATTAATATTTCTCAGGTATCAGAGCAGGTGTAATCCTGTCTCGTCATTTTCGCCTCTTCAGTCAATATTCGAATTTTTCTCTTCTACTCAAATATATCCTTCTATTGCATGACTAAATACGGTCCAGCTTTCGGAATGACTATCAACTCATCCTCCTCTTCTTCTGATATTATCATCTCATCATCTTCATCCTCTCATCAAATGGAAACCTCTCATCTTCCGATCACCGCCCATAAACTGAATGGGCAAAATTATTTGCAATGGTCTCAATCCATATTAATGTTTATACGGGGAAAGGAGAAAGATGACTACATCACCGGAGCCTCGGCGCTACCAGAAACCACAGCATCAACCTACAAAAGGTGGATAGCTGAAAATAATATGGTCATGTCGTGGCTCGTCAACTCTATAAATACTCCCTTGTTAGAATTTTTTATTTAACAAAATTAACTAAAAAAAATAAAATTCATAATTGTTCTCTAATACAATAATAAAATTATCTAAATTATTAATTGAAATATATTTCTGATATCATTAAAAACTGTTAATTGACTTCATGATTTATTAATAAAAAGGGTAATTTTTTTACAAAATTAGAAACCTCAAGAGGTGGAATGTAATTTCCAAAAGCATAGGAGTGATTCGTATTTTAATCAAATCTCAGAAAGTGTATTTGTAATTTATCCTAATTTATAACAACAATTAGTTTTTTGAGCAAACTCGAAAAAACTTAAAACATAAAATGTCAAAGTGAAAAAAAATAAATTTTAAGAGTTAAAGTGAAAAAATAACCAAATATAAAAGGAGCAAAGTGTAATTTGTTCCAAAAAAAAATTGTGAATTTATTATGTGACTACAGGGGTTCAATTAAATTAATTTTTTTGTACCAATAATCTACTAAATTAATTCTACAAAATAAGAATGAGTATTGAGGCACTTAAAAAAATAAAAAACAAGTTCAATTCAATATACAATTTACCTTTGCTTTTTTTTTTTTTTTTTTTTTTTTTTGCCGTTGTCTTTAATTAACTTTTTGTAAATTATTTTTAAAAATTTTAGGTTTTTAAATTCACCTCGACAAGACGAACCGAAAAATTATAATTCAAAAAAAATTCAAAAAAAATCTTAAAAATACAAAAATAAGCAATCTCTTTTTACTTATTTTCGTCTTTAGTAATTTTTTTTTTAATTTTTCAAAAAAAAATACTTCAAGATTCATCTCGACAAAACGGACAAAAAAAAAGTAAAAAAAATTCACATAATTTAAAAAAAATTACTAAAAACAAAAAAAAATTCAAAAAAATAGATGCTTTTTTCACATAATTTTCACATCGACGGTTGAAAAACAACTTTCATATTTTCCAAAGCCACAGGCACTGTCACTCTAAAACTAAAAAAATAGCATTCCCAGCTGATTTTAAGTGCAATGAATTCGGGTTTGCACAAAAGACACACTCCCCATTCACACTGCCTTTTCTGGAGTATTTGTGGTTGCAAATATGTCTCTCTCTCTCTCTATATATATTGAAACTAATCAACAAGTATATATATAATATATACAACAATGATATCGATCATTAATTTTAAAACTCTAAAGAGATTACTAATAATATGGTACTTAATAAAAAAAAGAAAAAAAAATACAACACCAAGATCAAAACATCAAATCATTCATGGTGAGACCCACTACCACATCATGTGATAGCACTAATTAATGCTCTCATTCTTTTTATATATATATATATATATATGCAGTGAATGAGAATATATTCAAAATCTTTTCTTTCCATTAAAAAAAACAAAACTGATTGCCTGAATCGCAAGTAATAAATCTGTAAATCCGGAATATAAAATATAAAATAATTAAAAAAATCAGTACTGTCAACTTTTCTATAAGACTACAAACCACAGCCAACCAAATAGTCTGTCCTTAGCCTTAGGGTTTGCTCTTAAAGCTATTCTTTGAGCCGTTTATTTGTTCTCTGTCGATAAAAAAAAATATTTCAATTTTTTGGCCTAAGAAGAAGAGGCAAAAAGGCAATCTGGCGAAAAGGAGGTTAGATCTCTTAATTTTTGGGTTTATTGTTCTTTCTTTTATTGTTTCTTTAGCTGTTTATGTATTTATATGTGTGAAATTGCATAGAAATCATTGAGAATTGTAATTTATATTCTTGTTAATAATCTTTCTTTCAATTTGTTATTTTTTTAGGCTTAGTTTGATCTAAATGTTTAATTGTATTACTTGATTTTTTGTCCTAGATAAATAAACAAATGATAAATGATTCATATATGTAATGGGTAGATTGAATAGATTCTGATATTTATGGAGTGTATATATAATATGAATAATTGAATGTGTGTGTTGAATTATTAGGTGTTTGATCCATATAAGCTAGAGAATTTGGAGCTCTGCTCATAACTTTGTCATGTTGAAGGGTTTTTTTGAGGAACTTTTTCTGATTAGTTTGTAATGCATTGGATGTCACAATACAGACTCACAATATACAAGCGATTCATCGCAGCACATTCGCCATGGTATATGTGGACGAATAGTTTTATGTGCGTAAACGGGTATATATATGTTAATGAAAATTGATATAAATATTACACACATCTTAACTTGAGGTGTTTGTTGGACGGGAATAAAAATTATGCCAGTTGAACTTGAATATCTGTTGCTTTTGTTTTTAATTTTGACTTGTTTGGGGCAAGTCTAATTTTGTGTTGATCTATATCCAAACAACATCAAGATTGTTTTATTTTTTATTTTATTTTCTATCATGTGTCAATTATTTGCTGGAATTAATGATAGAACGATCCCATGATCCTGAACCAATCTTAACTGGGATTGCAAATCCCAAGTTTGTCTATGAAGAGCGAATCCAATTATATTAGTACATGAAAAAGTAATTGCTTAAAACTTAGAATAAATTTTTAAAAAATGAATACAAAAAGAAAGAACCGCAATCACAAATCTTTAATTCTTAGGGGCCTCTTTGGCATGTGTCCCAGAAACTGTATGTATACCTTGTTAAGGAACCTAGTGAAGAAGCCTAGTAAAAACACGTGTGGCAGTGCATTTAATTACTGTAATTTCATTTAAAGCTTGCTCAGCGGAACTTGGGAAAGATGTTTTCCACATTTAAGCACTGTAATTTCATTTAAGACTTGCTCTAGAACTTGGGAAAGCTGTTTTCCACATTTACATTTTTCACTCTTGTCTCAAGAAGCAAAAATCAGCTTAATCTCAGGAGTTCACCCTTTTCCAGGTTTTAGATTCCCTCTCTGAAACAAAATTACCAATATGCTACAATTGTTATATTGATTAAAATATAGAAATTGAGATCAGAGTTATATGTCAATAATCATAGTCTTTGACTGTCCAGTTTACATTTTCTGTCCACTTTTTTAATTATTATTCTTTCTTCTTCTTTTTTTCCATGTATCAGGCAATCGTCTCTTATGCACGTTAGTGATTTATTTTCCATAGTTCCCGAAGATTTTCTTTCACTCTGGCCTCTGTAGCAAATTCGAACCCTTCTCGCACCTCTAGGTGGGTGTGGGGTGTTGATGAAGTGCTAATTTTACTTTGTGTTTTGAGGAGATCAAGATCATCACACATCTGGAGACTGTGCCGTGTTTCAGAGGGTTTGTCACTTGACTACGGCTAAGGTCACTGTGGAGTGAGTACCAAGAACCTCGTTAGTGTCATGTGATTGTAAATTAGAGAAATCAGATCTTTGTTTCAGGTTTCTGGGCATAATTGAGCAGGATAGTTAGTTGTTGATAGTTTTCGATGTAACAACAAGAGTGGATCTCATGTGAATGAGGCTTTAGTTATTTCAATTAAAATGGTTAGGTTTTCGTGCTTCAACACCCACACCCATTCTGACAAACCAAAGGTAAGTGGAATAACTATTTGAGGCTGATTTTTTGTTTTTAACTAAGCTGTTTGAGGGGATTTTTCAATTCCCTTTGCTGACTGTGTATTTCTATGTTAAATCAGAAAACCGTTCAACTGTCTGTTGAAGTGCAGAAGACATTGGCAGATCGTTCTCAGAATCAGGCCCTGAAGGATTTTAGAGATTCTTCAGGTTTAAACTCATTACATTTGAAAGTTGAAAAAGACGCTATTCCCAATAATAGTTCTAATCATGTCATGGCTTCCTCTTCCACCGAGCGTGGCTGGAAATCAGAGGAATTCAACAGCAGCTATGATATTGAGAGTGACAGAGGGATCTATCATTCTGGGCGTATTAAGAAGAGCCTGTCTTTAGGGTGCGGACTGGATAGGGAGGGGAGGGCTTCTGTTGGAAATGACTCGGAGGATGAGACAGATACAGGATATTCACGTGACAGGCCCCATAATCAAGATAGGATGGTGGTTCCAGTTGGTCGCAAAGATCCAGAAATCAGCTTGGCCAATCTGTATCAAGAAGCTCCGCACTATGATTCTCTTCAGGCAAGTACTGATTTGGTGAATACTGAGTCCATCTTCTCAATTGGAGATACATTGCAATCGGAAAAAGAAGGCCATGAAAACTCTAATACTCATTTTTCTGGTGAGTGTGCTGATGAATCTAGTGACCATACACCTCGTACCCCGCCTATTATTGTGAAGTCAAATTCTATGCCCAACATAGGCTCCTCTGGTGAGCTTTCAGCTCTTAAATACTTGGAACCTCATTCTAAATCTTGTGAGGACCTTACTGTTCTTGAGTTGAGGTGGAAGGAGATGGTAATTCATGAGGTAGGCACAGGGGTGATACATGACCAAGAAAGAAATGATACTGCATTAAATAATGGTAAAAGCAATTGTGAAAACAATGCTGGGGATGGTTTTGATCCATGTAACTATGTTGGTTCATCAAAAGACTGGATAATACCTGTTATGGATGAGGCAAATGCAGAGAAGCACCTTCACGGAGAGTCTTCAGCTCGCCGGAGGGAGGGATTTCCGAGCAATGATTTCAAGATCAAACGTATCGAGGATTGGGTCATTGATCTACAACATTGTGGCCCATTGGAAGAGTCAAATGATGGATTATCAAATGTAGATGATCATCAGGTACAGAGAGCTGCAAGATTTGATGCTAAGGTCACCCCTGGTATGGAAGCTGCAAAGAAATATATCTCATCTTTGACGGCCACATCCACCACAGCTCAGCTGGCAAATCATGGTTTGGCTGTGATCCCATTTCTCAGCGCTTTCGTAAGCCTAAAGGCACTAAACTTATCTGGAAACAACATAGGTTTGGTGACCCTTATGACATCCTTTGAATTGTCACTTTTCCCAAGTCTTTTCTAGAATAATTTTGAATTGTTTCTGTTACCGGACTTATTGATGATCTTCACTTTGCTTTTGCAGTGAGGATAGCTGCTGGTGCTCTCCCTCGAGGACTCCATAGTTTGAATCTATCAAAAAACAGCATCTCCACTATTGAGGGTTTGCGTGAACTTACACGGCTTCGTGTACTTGACCTGAGCTACAACCGAATAGTGAGAATTGGACATGGTAAGGCCTTTTTGCTAAAGTACAATTTGATAGGTCTTGGCTTTTGTCTATTGTTTCTTAAGAGTCTCTTTACATTAGTACTGTCTTTCTTGCAAAACTATTTGAGTTGGGTTATAGGCTTGGTTGTAATGTTGTCGTACGTACTTTTCAGTTGCGATGTCAGAAGTCTTGCATGCTAGATTTAGTTTTGGTTTGATCATCTCAAAATATAGTTTACCTTGAATCATACTTTTGTTCACTAGAATCACAACTGTGTTTATTCTTTGCCTCTGTTGAAATCTCCCCTTTTTTGTTTTCCCTCAAAGTATAGTTTACGGTTCACTAAAATATTGTTTACCTCTGTTTTCCCTCCGAGTACTGGATAATTCAAGTGCCTAAGCGTCGTAGGACGCCATTCATCAACATTTCAACATCTTTACCAGGGTTCTATTTCCTGATAAATAAATAAAAAACAGCGCTCAAATAGTACACATTAATATGTGTGTTTGTGTGGGAAAAAATTGTGTACACACCTAACTTTTGACATAGTGCACAAATTGGTTATCCCGACACTTGAACCCATAACCTCGAGATTATTAACCCATAAAAAAAACAAAAAAACGGAATTTGGCAGAGCAAGACAACGAAAATGATCAGGAACTCTTCATTGAATTTTGAACATAACTATCACTTCAACATAAAATTCTCACTGAAACTTTAGTGATGCATGTATAATTTAATGGAAGGTTTTGATTTAACGTGTTTTAATATTTTTTTAGGTGCTTTTCTTGCTTCTAATGTACTTTAATTTTATTTATTTAACAGGTCTAGCTTCTTGTTCCTCTCTGAAGGAGTTATACTTGGCTGGAAACAAAATCAGCGAGGTCGAAGGTCTTCACCGTCTCCTAAAACTAAATGTCCTCGATCTGCGTTTCAACAAAATCTCCACAGCCAAATGTCTCGGCCAACTTGCTGCTAACTACAATTCCTTACAAGCGATCAGCCTAGAAGGAAACCCCGCCCAGAAGAACGTCGGAGACGAACAACTCAAGAAATATCTGCAAGGGCTTCTGCCTCATCTGGCTTACTTCAACAGGCAGTCCATAAAAGCTGGCACTTTGAAGGATGCGGCAGACCGTCCGGCTCGATTGGGTATTACTGCCGATCGTGGCCTTAGATTGGAACATAAGAGTTCGCGGAAGGGAAACCATGGTACCTCAGTTCACAAGACGTCGTTTTCTTCATCAATTCATGGTCAGAAAGGTCAAGCCACAGTGTCACCAAAACCATCCAGGGTTGGCAGGCCTGGGCGCCTGCCTCCGACTGGAACTAAAACAGGAACCGCTCATCGGAATAATTTTTATGATTTCGGAAGCAAGCTTCTGAATTTCAGACATGATCTTGCGATGCGGAGAAGTCGAAGTGAGGGAACTCTTGCAGCAGCTCTTTGAGCTTGTTTTCATTTCATGGTTCAGACATGGGACTTATGTGACTTTGGTGTTCTGGGTTATCTTTGCTTTTTCTGCTTGCAGCTCTTGGTTTGTTTGTTTGTTTGTTTTCTTCCCCAAAGTATAATGGTTTCGTACCAGGTCAGAAAATAAAATTTGAGCACACTACTAGCAATGGATTTGCAAATGTTGCACACTTCTGTATTTCTTATTTTCTTTGTGTGGCCTTGTTTCTTCTTGTTTTTTGGGAATTGTGGAGTTGTTTAGGGCAAATACCCTTCTTTTTTTCTTTTCTTTTTTTTCATATTTATAATTATTCGTACCCTTTCACAAGTCATACTTGCAGGGATTAAATCACCAGAATTTCATTGTTTTTTCACGGCCTGTACATGTCCTTTATTTATTTATTTTGTCTCTTTACATATACAAATAAGGTTTGTCATGAATTAAATAGGAGGTGAAAAAATGATGAAATTCATGTGGTGAAGTGTGATGGGTGTGCTGCAACGTATTGGCAAAATTTAAGTTGGGTTCGGATTTATAGATTTGAAATGAAATGATTTGAGCCTAATCATTAAAGAAGAATAGTTCCAATTTAAATATGATTCAAGATATTTGAGAGTATAATTGTTTTACCCAAACATTAGTTACTTTTTTTGGAAAATGTTTTATTTAAACTTTCAATTTTTGCAATCACCAATCACAGGTTTTGGCACAAGTAACAGTAAGGGTGATAGACCATCCGGATCGGCCTCTCTACAATGGTTTTGAAACTATTGTAGAGAGTAAAAACTGTAAATATCAATTTCATCAGTCTCTCTATAACTTTCATTCATTTGGTGAATGCTAAAGTGCTTAATTGATTTGTAGAGGTACTGTTCATACGGTAATTTAATTTTTATTATATTTTATGGAGTAAAGTTGGGCTAAAAAGCCATGGCCAGTCGTCCATCCGGATGTCCCCCGGATGTCCTTCTGGATGTCTCGTGAATGCCTTGTAACAAAGAATGAAATGCTCAAATTTGGCCTGACCAGTCGACCGTCCTCTAGTGGGTTTGGCCCTCCTGTGCTGCTATTGCTCTGGTATTGATCTGTAGTTGTCTTGGGCTTTGTTTATACTTGCTTGTTCATAATATTTTAATGAAATAGAATTTTAAAATAAAGAGTTTGATAGAGTGTGTAGGATAGCTAAAATACAAAAGTGAATTTTGTGTTATAATTTAACTCAAAATTTGTTGAGGCTGATGCAGATATTCTTACCAAATTGGTTTGGTTTGGTCTGGCCTGGCTTTGAGGTAAATCAAGAATCGATTCCTATAGCTCTAGAAGTTCTAGAAATTTAAGAACCAAATCAAATTGTGAAAACTTTGAAATCAAAACCAAGAAAAAGATTAAGAACTCTAAATTAAGAGCTTTAATTGGTGTGGATCCCATGTGATGTAATGTTTTGGCCTTAATTTTTTTTTAATTTTTATTTTTTTACATCATTAGTACTCTTTTAGAGCTCTCATATTAAAAGAACATTATCATTCTTGCAAAACCAAAGCCAAATTGCGAGAAAACGAGTCTGCTACTCTAAATAAAATTTATCACTATATTCAACAAAAAAGTTGATTGTAACATTCAAAAAAATCCACAACCATACTTTTAATTTTAAAAACATTTTTCAAATACGCTTTTATTAAAACAGCAAAGACATAGCAAATTCTTTATATTATAATTTTCAATAATAAAAGAAATGTGAAAAGCATAAAACTAGTGTAAACTTTACATAGAGTTGTAACAACTCAGCTGGAATGTGGTTGTGTAACCTGATAAAAAGGTTAGAGATTTTGATTCTTCATAACAACCCTTTGTGTTTTACCTATTAAAATTAATAAATAAAAAAAACAATTCAGTTCTAGTTGGCTCTTTTAAGTCTTAATTTGTAACCAAACAGTAATCAACAATTCTTAATCACTGGACCTGTTCTACAAAGTAATTTTTCTATAAACATATATTAACTCCATATGCACAATGGAAAGCACCAACTATGACCCTTTAACTTCCAATGACACAACATTATAATATGCATTCAGCTATAAAATTATGGATATTCTGCTTTCAACTAATAAATATCATTTCATTTTTAAAAAAAAAAATGATAAATATCAACTTCACGGTTGGTGGCGGGCAACGTATCAGTAGATGAACCTACACACCTACATCTGGAACTTCTAAATATACCTACCATATTTATGTTTACACTCAGTATTATCTCTCAGGTACAAGTATTTCTTCCTAATCTACAAGCTTGAGAATGCTAGAAAAATTAAATAGGTGAACTTAGACCACCTACCTCTATATGTCATCATCAGCAATACAACAATGGCAGCTCCTGAGTATTGGAGCTCCAACCTCCGGCTTCAAATTGTTGAGCAAAAGAACAGGAAAGTTGAATTCTCTCTCTCTCTCTCTCTCACACACACACACACACACATTCCACAAGCAAAAGTAAAAGACTAAGATGTGCTCACGAACTGCAAAATCAAACAAACGCATGGTTGGTTTCTTTATTAAGATGGCAGCTGAATGGGGTTTAAGTATAAAAACTCGAGGACACAACGTAGTTCATTAACAATCAGCCAATACTCTTTTTATGTGCAGAAGGCGATTAGGCAGGATGCAGAGATGAAAGAGCACACATTACAGTCAAACAACAATAATGTAAACGAACAATTTACATGACATAAAAGTACCCCTGCCCAACGCTCTCCACCCCCACCCACTCTTCTCTTTTTCGCCCTTTTTTGAAGACAAAAAATTTGATCGCATTCTCAATTTCTTTGCTTCCCAACAGCCTTCATTTCTTATGATCACCTTCATCACTTTCTGCACAAAAAAATTTTAAAAAAAAATTCCAAATACGGAATCAGTATCAAACCAAACACTACATCATGGTACAAAATGAATTTAAGCACTATTTGGTTATAACAATCTACAAAATAATACACATGGCAACTACAAAATTTCAGGTCTTAAAACCAATATAACACCTCCCTGGGACTATTAACAACTACTTAGACAGTGAGTGTAATCTTTGAACTTCTGAACCAATTTAACATGAATGACATAAGAACTACTGGTTTCTGTTCTCAAACTCCCAAGAGTTATCAAAAGTTTTAAAGAGATTGCAAAAGAAAAGAAGGTAAAATACACAGCCTCATTTATATGTAGATCTGAAATTCAAACCAATGTTGGGTCCTGTTCTATCTCATTTGCTAAACAAAATAGAATTGACTCATTGCATAAAATAAATAAATAAAAATTTTAAAAAAAGGAAAACCATCAGTGTGACTACTATATGCATTCGTAGTTCGGAATTCTCATTCAGAAAACAGGTGTCCTATATATATATTCTTGCAACTCAAAACACTTTCAAGCAGCATTAGTGTAATGCTTTCGGGTTAAGAAGACTCACATTCGGCATGAACCACAGTTCAAGTAGGTCACAGGCTATCACTATGAAGCATGCTGCCTCTAATGAGAAATCAACACAGATACTGACAAAAAGAAAGAAATGCAACATGCTGTAGATTTTTTTATGTTTTTTGATCAACAATACAGATGAAATTTTATTAAAGAAAATGATGAAGTATATATATAACGAGAGGAGGACATGAAGCCCACCCCCCCCAAAAAAAAAAGGAAAAGGAAGAAACAAAAAGAGCAAAAAGTATATCACATTCTATACGCAACTCTCCAATTCCAAGAAACTAGAAAAATCAGAATCCTTTTAAATGGATATTACGAATATATAAATTTATTCCATTGTCAACAGTTCACCTGAATCAAGAAGATCTTTACATTGCACTAATTACCATTCAAGCATCTGTTAACAAGTGACATATAATACCAAGAACAAGAATCAATAAGACCTCATTTTTTTTGACTGACAACTTTTTGAAGTGTTTAGATCCCCAAATAAAAAATGCAAGATTTTTCATGTGGTTTGACTCAAAAAATTATTCTCTTTTCACTGTAAAGGAATTCAGTAGTGGTTAATATTAGGCAAATTATACTGGTGAAACCATAACCAGTACAGCGAAACCTAAGGTGAACCACAGTCCACGTATATCCACTAAGAAGCACGGACACTTCTAAGAAGGTAACGTATCCGTGTCGGACACCGACACTCATTGAACACTCTTAGGACACGTGTCTGACATTCTTCAAAACGTGTCATATTTTAAATTTTTTTTAAAGACTCGGACACTCTTTGGACACATGTGTCTATTGCTTAAACACACGTGTCTATCAATTGGACACATGTGAAACTAATTATAAGTTTGAACAAAACAATTTAAGACACAATAATAAAACAAAAATCATATAAATTTATAGAAATTAGTGTCATATTACATTTTTTATTATCTTTGAATGATATATTCATATATATAACATATAATAAATACATAAAATTATATATTTCATGTGTGTCCCCCATGTGTTATATCTTGCATTTTTTAAAAATTAATGTGTCGACGTGTCCGTGTCCGTATCCATACTTCTTAAGATATCCATAAGCATGAGAAAGGACCACGAAAGAGTTAGCATTAAAGCATCACATATTTAGAGAATTAATTATGTTAATAGCAACGTTCACGAGTCAGCATTGCAACAACAATACCACAAATCTTAGTTGCAGGAAATTCCTACTAAGAGTGATGTTTCTGCTTTAGAACAATGATTCCGCAATTAAGATTTAGTGTTTTTTTAAATGATAAATTAGTGTTAGTTTTCATTAATTTTGTTTGTTTATAAATGTAATATATACATGGCAAACAAAATATATAAAAATATTTTTTGGTATCCCCACCATGTTTCGTGTTCTAACCTTTTTTTGAAATTGTTGTATCTTGTGTCTGTTTCCATGCCTCATAGATTCGATAATCATTAACAAATCATTAAAGTAGAAAAGCTCAAAAACAAATCATTAAAGTAGAAAAGCTCAAACCAATCTCATTAAAATAGATTGAAGCCTAAAGTTCCAATTAAATACTCCTGCATCAAGCTATTGTGGCAAAATTAGCCACAACCAGGCTGATTCCATAAGATCTGGTAAACACCTGAGAGCACTAATAAAGTAACCCAGACCACATATGGAGTTCTAAAAGAAAGGAGAAGCCAAGAAGTAAAGGAAATAAAGGAAACATGACCACATCTGTGTGTGCATGTGCGCACGTGTGTGAAAGGGGAGGGAAAAGGAGGGATGCCATGTCATGTCACGCATAATGGTTAGGACCTCATGACTACAACCCTTACAAGTTACCAGTCCCATCCATAATGGCTGAGAACTTAGAAGTATAGACACGGACACGCGACGCGACGCGACGCGACACGGATACGTCTGTGAAAATATTAGGTTAGGTTTATGTATATAACAGTATTTTCTTTTTTAAGAGATTGTATAGGTGTAAATATATGACAGTGTTTCCTTTTCTAAGAGATTGTGTAGGTGTATATATGGCAGCGTTTTAGGTTATTTCCTTTTTAGTCTTAGGGTTAGGTTTATCATATAATCAAATGTATTCTTTGTATTAGAACACAAGTTGAATATACAAATCATTTAGAAATACTTATGCCAACATGGACACGCTAACATGCTAATTTTTAAAAAATGCAAGATACGACACGTGGGAGACACGCATGAAATATATAATTTTATATATTTATTATATATTATATATATGAATATATTATTCAAAAATAATAAAAAATGCAATATGACACTACTTCCTATAAATTTATATGTTTTTTGTTTTATTATTGTATCGTAAGTTGTTTTGTTCAAACTTATAATTAATTTCACATGTGTTTAATAGATAGACACGTGTGTTTAATCGATAAACACATGTATCCTTCAAGTGTCTGTAAAGAGTGTCCGGATTTTTTTAAAAAATTAAAAGATATGACACGTTTTGAAGAGTGTCAGAGAAGTGTCCAAAGAATGTCGGTATCCGATACGGATACAATACGGATACGTCACCTTCTTACAAGTATTTATAATTCTTAGGCTGAGAATTATAAGCAATGTGAGCACAACACAATTCAAATAAATAATAGAAACTCTCAAACGACTAAAATATCTTTTGAGAAAGAACTGTAACTTAAATATAAAATATCATTCACATAACAATTACAATCTGAATAATGATAGACAATTGTAAAATATAAAAATACACGCGATGCATTTATCTTCTAAGCATTCCAAAACATATTAAAGTGAATAAATTGCATGCCAAATAATACAAAACATTGTCACTATGAAAAGATTCATCACAAAGGTCAGGTTTGAATGATTTGAAAAGTGTCGCCAAAATGTCCGAGAAGTGTTTATAAAATGTCTAATATTATGAACATACATTATTAATCAAGTCTCATTGAAAAAAAGTGTTGGACACGCTTTTTAAGAGTGTCTTGCGTTATGAATCCACCTTTAAAAACTTCGTACTTGTCATTCAAGTAAATTCATTCTTCAGAAGTCAAAACTTATTCCAATTAGGTTGCAATCCAATCCTAGCTAGCCCACACAACAACACACTCTAACACCTAATTGTTTCACTTTTCCTAAGATGTAAACAAATTGAAGTAGAATTACTTGAAGTAAAAATTGATTGAAAAAATCGTAATGCAAGTAGAACAATTATCTATTAGAATTCAAAAAATTGCAAACCTTTCTGTTCATCATCAGCATCATGATACTCCTGCTCCTCTTCCGGAACTGGATGTAGCTCCACCTCCACTCCGACCCCCTTCCTCACACTTCCACCGCCACAATCGCCACCGTCCTTCTCATCGGGATGCCTAACCACCACCACCGGACAAATACAGTGATGCACGCAATAATCGCTAACCGTTCCGAGTCGTCCCTTACTTGTCCGCCTGGAGGCCCCAAACCCTCGGCTCCCCATAATGACCGCACTCAATCCAAGCCTCTCGACCTCCAAGCACAACCTCTCCTTCATGTCGTGGTCCTTGACTATATGGATCTTGAATGGAATTTGAGCTTCGACGAGAGGTTGAGAGAGATCGGAAGCCTTGGTGCTGGTGAAATTGTCGAAGTCGTCTTCGAGTTTTTGGTGAGACTCTTGGGAGGGGTCGTCGTTGGGATCGACATCGATAGCGCCCCAATCGGCGCCGTAGAGGACGGAGGTGGGGCGGACGTGGAGGAGGATGACAGCGTCGCCGGGGCGGAGGTAGTTGTCGACGGCCCACTTGACGGCGAAGGCGCTCTCGTCGCTGAGGTCAACGGCGATGGCTACGCGGCGGTGGGCGGTGGCGGTGGGGGTGAGAGGGAGGAGAGAAGGGGACGACGGAGGGATGTGAGCCGTCGGAAGGTCAGCTTCCGGCTTCGGCTTCGGGTGCTGGTGGTGTGGGTTCATAACGCCTGCGGTTGGGTTGGCAATGCCTTTTTTTAATTGGTGATTGTGTGATTCTATCTTTGATTATTAGTAATTAAGAGTGGTGAGGTGATAACACTGTGAGAGAGGGAGAGAGAGAGAGAGAGACAGGATTTAAAGAGGAAGGGGTGGTTAGGAGAAGAAATTTGAAAGAGGAAGCCAATAAATGAACAAGTTATTGGTCCGTCTTGGCTCCAGTATTATGATTGGCTTCCGTATTATGATTGATAGGGAGCGTGAAATTTATAAATTTTTATTAAATAATTTAAAAATATAATAAATTATAATTGACGTGAAATATAATTATACAATTTTTATGATTAAATTTGACATGTACAAGTTCATAAAGGTTATGAATCACTATGAACACCCCAAGCCCATCACTTGGAGTCCAATACATAACTCAGCTGGTGAGGTCTAGGATAGTTGGAATCCAACATAGCATAAAGAGCCAATGACATTCAGACACATGACAGGTGAAGGACGAGCCACATCAGCAGACAAAGATCTGCAAAGTTATTGCCACTGCACATCACCATTAATGCAACCCATCACAGCATTTATTACGACAACACCTTTCCGTCGGAACAGGACCCCCTTACCCTGAACAAGGTAAGATACAACATAGACTTTCGGCGAGGAGGTCAAGTCGGAAGGGACAGCGAAACGATTACCAAAGAATATAAGCAAACGTTGAAGACAAGAAGAAGGTTAAGCTTTTCTATTTCTAATCTCTCCCTCTGCACTCTACTTCTCTTCTTAACTTGCTCGTCGGAGGGTTCACTGGGGGACTACCCAGTTTCCCATAAAACTTGTTTGCAGGTTATCCGGTGGGCTTAATCATTTGGACGTGGGCTTGAGGAGCTTGAACCAGTCTGATCCATTCACTGGAACAAATTGTATCATCAGTTGGCGCCGTCTGTGGGAAAGACTTTACTCCGCGCACCAGTTGTGCTCATTGTCGCCGGAGACCCTATCCCAACAACCTTTTCCCCCTACCCATGAAAGTGTATGGTCACGACTAGATCCATGGCTTCTCACAATAATGCTGCCGGTCATCAGGCCGACCCCCCCAATCCAAACAACCCACCGCAGTATTTTATCGAGCTTACCAACAGCATTAATCGCATGGCCGAGCAAAACCAAGCCCTAATAAATGCTTTACGCCAAAGAAACCTTCCGATGCCTCCTCCACCACCTCCAGATATTTCACCCAACTAAGAAAAAGCCCCGAGCCATACTGTTCCGCAACCCTATCCACCCAACTTGGAAGGTTTGCAACCTCCTCCCCCACATATAAATCTACCACCTCCACCCCCACACCTGTCGGTCGTGGCACCAGCCCCTGAAGGGGAAGCCAGCACCGTCCAGCCCTCTTTGACTAACCGTGGTAACAACATTCCCCTCTGGGACGCTGAACTCCGAGCGATGAAGCTCCAACTCCAAGGGGTCATGTAGAACATTCAGCATAAACCCTCTACCACGACAAACTCACCATTCGTTGCCTCTATCCAGGACAAACCTCTGCCCGCCAAGTTCAAGCTGGCCACCATTGATTCTTTTGATGGTACGATGGACCCAGTCGACCAACCGTACCCTCATGATCCTCCATGCCTTCCCTAACGAGATCATGTGTCGGGCTTTCCCCGTGACACTGAAGGGGTCAGCTCGACTGCGGTTGCCAGTTACCAGTAGACTCTGTCTCCACTTTCCAGCACCTCAGCGACTCATTCCTTAGCCATTTCATTGAAGCCCAGCGCCAACGCCGCTCGGTAACCCAACTCCTCAACATCCGTCAGACCGAGGGAGAGTCGCTGCGCAGTTTCGTTACCAGCTTCAACACCGAAGCCTGCAAATAGCGAAAAACGATGACAAGGTCATCCTCACGGCTTTCATGGCCGGGCTACGATCGTCCGATTTCCTCTTCTCCCTCTCCAAAAACCCCCCGACCTCCATGGCAGCCCTACTCTTCAAAGCCCAGAAATATATGAATGCTGAAGATTCACTAGCCGCCCGGCAGGATCCAATAGCTAAAAACCAGACCCCCAGAGAAAAGAGAAAAGACTCAGAACCTAGAAACACCCAGTATAATAGCCAAACCCCCCACTATACAGACCGACCCCCCCGCGCTGACCGGTCGGCACCAGCCCGACCGCCCGGTCGGTTCGAGTGGTACACCCCCCTTAATTCTCCTATGGAACAAGTCCTCAACCAGATCCAACGGAACTACCCCCTCAAACGGCCCCAACCTTTACGAACCTCTTCCAATCAGAAAGACCAGTCCAAATATTGTCATTTTCACCAGGACCATGGCCATAACACTAATGACTGCATCAACCTCAAAGATCAGGTCGAGACCCTAATACGTTAAGGGCGTCTCAGCCGGTTCACGGACACCCGCCCACAACAGAGGCAAAGAACCGAGCCCCTCAGAAACAACCGCCGGCGCACCCCACCCCGGCAGCCAGCCCAACCTAACCAAGGCCATGATCGCCTCCCACAACAGCCTCGGCCGCCAGGTAATCCCCCTCCGCCAGTTGGTGAAATCTAAGTCATTTCAGGTGGTCTTGCTTGTGGGGGACCATCCCGCTCTGCTCAGAGGGCAGAACTCAGAAAGATAAGGCAAGGCTCAGACAAAACAGTTGCCACGTTAGACCGACCCTCCAAACAGCCCAAGTTGTGGACAGAGCCCATCACCTTCACGGACGCCGATTGTACAGGCATCCGTTATCCTCATGATGACCCTCTCGTCATTTCTGCCCTCCTCTCCAATTATAAGGTCAGACGGGTTCTCATTGACAACGGCAGTTCTTCAGACATCATATTCCTCAACTGCTTTCACCAGCTCAAGATTGGGGAGGAAAGTCTGTCTCCCCTCCAAACCCCTTTGGTCGGCTTCACTGGCGACCGGGTGACCTCCATCGGCTCCATCGATCTCCCCTTCACCATCGGCGAATACCCACGGCAGACTACCAAGTTGCTCACTTTCCTTGTGGTCGATTGTCCCTCTACCTACAACATCATCCTTGGCCGCACCGCCCTCAACGCTTTCCAAGCTATCACTTCAACCTACCACCTCGCCATAAAGTTCTCTACTGACCTGTGCGTCGGGACAGTAAGGGGAGAGCAGACCGTAGCCAGGGAATGTTATGTCGCCTCACTCAAGGAAGTCAAGCTGAAGGAGGCCATGATCATTGAAGGACTTGACGTCCGAGATGAGGACGAGCTGGTCAGAGGATAACCGGTGGAGGAGCTCGTTGAGATTCTCATCGATCCCACCAACCCAATGAAAACTGCCAAGATCGGCAGCCAATTATCCCCCCAAGCTAAGGCCGACTTTACCGCCCTTCTGATCGAGCACAATGATGTATTTGCCTGGACCCATTCATACATGCCGGGCATTGACCCCTCTTGGGCATTGGCCCCTCTTTCATAACTCACCGCCTCAGCATCGAACCCCATTTCCGATCTTACTGCCAGAAGCAGCGCATCTTTCATCCAGAGCGCTATGCTCTTATAGCCGCAGAGGTTAACAAGCTCCTTGAGGCCCAATTCATCAAAAACATGGATTACCCTAAATGGTTGTCAAACGTGGTCCTAGTCCGCAAGAACAATGGTAAATGGCGACTCTGTGTCGATTACTCTGACCTAAACCGAGCTTGCCCCAAAGACAACTATCCTCTTCCCCGCATAGATCTGCTGGTCGACGCCATGGCCAGTCATCAAATGCTTAGCTTCATGGATGCTTTCTCTGGGTACAACCAAATCCTGATACACCCGTCCGATCGGGAACATACATCCTTCATTACCGATTGAGGTACCTACCACTACCGTGTGATGCCATTCGGACTGAAGAATGCTGGGGCTACCTACCAACGGTTGGTCAATGTCGTTTTCCATCATCAGATAGATCGGAATATGGAAGTATATGTCGACGACATGCTAGTCAAGAGCAAACTCTCTATTGATCATCTGACCGACCTGCGAGAAACCTTCGCCACCCTACGCAAGTACCAAATGAAGCTCAACCCAGAGAAGTGCGCCTTCGGCGTAGGATCTGGGAAGTTTCTGGGTTTTATGGTCAGCCAGCAGGGCATTGAAGCTAACCCTGAAAAGATCAAGGCCTTGATTGAGATGCAGTCACCCAGAATGGTTAAAGAGGTTCAAAGGCTCACTGGCCGAGTTGCGGCCCTCAACCGCTTCATTTCTCGCGCAACAGATAAGTACCTACCATTCTTCAAAGTTCTTCGGCAAACTTTTGAATGGACAACTGAATCTGAAGAGGCTTTTCAGCAGTTGAAGCAGTGCATGGCCAATCCTCCCTCATTTCGCAAGCAATTACGGGGGAGCCTCTCTTTCTCTATTTAGCCGTCTCAAGCACCGCAGTCAGTGCAGCTCTTATCAGAGAAGACGACTCTGTCCAATGGCCGGTCTACTACATCAGCCGGGCTCTCAGGGGAGCAGAACAGAATTGCCCGCTGTTAGAAAAATTGTCCTTGGCCTTGGTCACCGCCTCCAAACGGCTCTGTCCTTACTTCCAGGCCCATTCCATAGTGGTTCTCACCGACCAACCCTTGAAGAAGGTCATGCAACAACCAGAACTTTCCAACAGACTCATGTAGTGGTCAGTGGAACTCAATCAGTTTGACATCTCCTACCGGCCTCGAACAGCAATTAAGGGACAAGCTATCGCGGATTTCATCTTGGAATTCACTAATCCTACCCCAACCGCTGCCCCTCCACCCCCACCAACCCCTACCGAGCCAGAAGACCCACATTCTTGGACTCTCAACGTCGACGGATCATCCTGCAAGGAAGGTAGTGGGGCTGGCCTCATTCTCACCACCCTTGAGGGTGGCTATTTCAAATGTGCTCTCCGTTTCTTATTTAATGCCAGTAAAAATAAGGCCGAATATGAGGCATTGATAGCAGGACTCCACCTCGCCAAGGACATTGGAGTCAGCCACATCCAGGTGTTCAGCGACTCCTAGCTCATTGTCGGCCACATTACGGGGGAATTCGATGCTAAGGACGACACAATGCGGGCTTACAGGGATATGGTACTCCCCCTTGTTCGTCTCTTCAATACCTTCCACATCAAGCACATACCTCGGGTGAAAAACTCCAAGGCAGATGAGATGG